ATAATTTTCACTGCAGGTTCCAAACCGGTCCTTCCTCAAAGCGAAAATAATGCCTGTGTGTTTCTTTTCAAGTCTAGAACGCTGCCTACAGTCACATTCGGATAATAGCCAAGAGAACCTAATGAAGTCGAATGTATTGAGATGTGTTCGGCTTCTTTGGTAGGAAGACACAAACTTGGATCGTATGCTTTGAAGGTGGGCCTTGGCCTTGTTATGGTCATCTTGTAGCAAGACCTTTTCAATAGAGATGGAATCATAGAGTTTTAATTTGTGAACTCGCTGTTGGAGATACTTAGGCGCGATAGAGTAATGAAGGCAGTCACGAAGCAGTCGCACATGGTAGATGGCTGTGTTAAGGCGTCCCCGAAGAGAAAGGACGTCATTCAGAAGACCGATATGTTCGGTTTGGAGACGTCGCTTGAAGTAGTTAAAGCAGTGGCGCGGAGAAAGAAAGAACAGCAGTGCTACTGGTGCTGTGATAGGCATCAGCATGGGCTGTCGCCTAGGGCGCTATGCCACTGGAGCACCAGAGCCCAACCCTCAACAAAAGCCGGTAAGTGTTGCATGGAAGGTCAAAGGAAAAAGACCATGCATGAAGTTATTAGCTGGTGTACGTAACCAATTTTACTAATTCAAACAACCGAAGCAGCAATCGGAGACGCAACCCGGCAGCAGCGAGTTGGTTGCGCTATACGGTCACAGGCGGAACGAAGCAGCACCTAAGCAGCGGCGAGATAGCACTACATGCATGGGAAAACCGAAAGAAAAATAATAATAATATCAGGTTTCAGCATCACAGCAGAAGCAGGCAAAGTCCACCGTGACGAAAGCAATATGCACTTATACAGGACTAGACTGTGCGACTAGGAATGTAACAAATTATAGATGGATCGAACTACCGAGCCACGGCGGCTCGGTATATTGTGTGCCTCCACGATTAATAATTTGAAAGTAGGACGGAGGCAGAAAATATTACAAAAAATGTATTATCTACGCATGCATCTACGCAAGAGTCACCACCAGCCAATTAGGACATGTGTCAAAGTATTGAACGTTTTCGTTCCCTTCTTGTCAAAATACTACAGGGAATGATGGAAATAAGCTAAAAGACTACAACTATAAGGAAAAGAAGTTCAGAAATATATCACTTCAATTATGTGTAGAAGTGACACGAAAAAATAGATGTGAAGAATCAAGAAAACAGCATGCAAATCCAATAAGTGACAAAAACGTAGTGACAAGAAAAAGAGAGAAATAACAAGAGATCTATTTCGCACCTTCACGACGAACAGTGCCAAACACCTGCAAAGACAACACATTCTCCTTCTGAACACAAAGCTCAGGGTCTAACTTAACTATTTTTTCGTGTCACTTCTACACATAATTGGAGTGATATATTTCTGAACTTCTTTTCCTTATAGTTGTAGTCTTTTAGCTTATTTCCATCATTCCCTGTAGTATTTTGACAAGAAGGGAACGAAAACGTTCAATACTTTGACACATGTCCTAATTGGCTGGTGGTGACTCTTGCGTAGATGCATGCGTAGATAATACATTTTTTGTAAGGGGCCGTCCGGGGTTACCGATTGTTTTTACAAAACGAAAAGTTTTAGTATTTTTCAGCCCCCACCCACCCACCCACCTTTTCTGCAGGTAAAACGAATTCCAATAAAATATTGATGTCAATTTTCGACACCCAGAAGTAACTGGGCATTCTCCATCAGCATTCAATAATTATTTTCGAAACGAAACTCCATCAAACCCACCCACCCACAAACGAAAACATTTCGTTTTGAAAATATGATTGGTAACCTTGGACGGCCCCTAATAATAATAATAATAATAATAATAATAATAATAGTACGAAGTAGTGGTTGCGACTTCGGGGATAATTTGTAAGAAAGGGTTTGCTCCCCACACCGGAGCTCGCGCTATTCCGCCGACTTTACTTGACACTTGACTGACTCACGACTGCCATCCAGAGCACACGAGAAGTCCATCGAACCTTCGACTCGGCAAGCCTGCAAGAAAGCACCACTCCCTGCTCAATACACAGTGTTCGGGGAATTCACCCCTCATCTGTTGAGCTTGAGTAGGCTGAGGAAGATTGTGCCTGAAGAGCATCACTTATATAGTGCTCTCCAGGCACAAACATCACCAGGGATACAAACTTACAGAGACGCTCCGTTTCCAGCGCGACAAACACCTCGTGAACACCAGATAGCAGCGTGAGTCAGTGTCGCTCCTGGACGGTGAGACAGACGTCGAGGACCCTCGGTCATTCGCAACGCTGTCACCTCCAAACCAACTAGTCGCAAGCCCGCGCTGGGCACAACAGTACGAAGTAGTGGTTGCGACTTCGGCGATAATTTGTAAGAAAGGGTTTGCTCCCCACACCGGAGCTCGCGCTATTCCGCCGACTTTACTTGACACTTGACTGACTCACGACTGCCATCCAGAGCACACGAGAAGTCCATCGAACCTTCGACTCGGCAAGCCTGCAAGAAAGCACCACTCCCTGCTCAATACACAGTGTTTCGGGGAATTCACCCCTCATCAGTTGAGCTTGAGTAGGCTGAGGAAGATTGTGCCTGAAGAGCACCACTTATATAGTGCTCTCCAGGCACAAACATCACCAGGGATACAAACTTACAGAGACGCTCCGTTTCCAGCGCGACAAACACCTCGTGAACACCAGATAGCAGCGTGAGTCAGTGTCGCTCCTGGACGGTGAGACAAACGTCGAGGACCCTCGGTCATTCGCAACGCTGTCACCTCCAAACCAACTAGTCGCAAGCCCGCGCTGGGCACAACAGTACGAAGTAGTGGTTGCGACTTCGGCCTTTCTTACAAATTATCGCCGAAGTCGCAACCACTACTTCGTACTGTTGTGCCCAGCGCGGGCTTGCGACTTGTTGGTTTGGAGGTGACAGCGTTGACCGAGGGTCCTCGACGTCTGTCTCACCGTCCAGGAGCGACACTGACTCACGCTGCTATCTGGTGTTCACGAGGTGTTTGTCGCGCTGGAAACGGAGCGTCTCTGTAAGTTTGTATCCCTGGTGATGTTTGTGCCTGGGGAGCACTATATAAGTGGTGCTCTTCAGGCACAATCTTCCTCAGCCTACTCAAGCTCAACTGATGAGGGAAGAATTCCCCGAAACACTGTGTATTGAGCAGGGAGTGGTGCTTTCTTGCAGGCTTGCCGAGTCGAAGGTTCGATGGACTTCTCGTGTGCTCTGGATGGCAGTCGTGAGTCAGTCAAGTGTCAAGTAAAGTCGGCGGAATAGCGCGAGCTCCGGTGTGGGGAGCAAACCCTTTCTTAATAATAATAATAATTAGGGGTTGCGAAGTTGAACGGTGCCTAGTGCAGCATTGTCACTGCATGAGTAGGCGATGGTGCAACGGTTTTGCAATCATAAAACCGGGATTCATGAGGTTATCGTTCTGGAATTTGAAATACGGACTATTTGTCGTGATAAATCTAATATTGACTGAGTACGAGGTCAATATAGGAAATAAAAGCTGTAAAAGTCCGAGGCATATAATAACCATTTGGCAAGGAACTAGATTTTTTCCATTACTATACTTGGAATACATTTGAGCTCGTACGACACAAGAATTACAGGATATGATAATTTCCACGGGGAGCTGACCTTCCCTTCTGTATGATTGGGTGCATTTCATTCCCTGCAAGGACACTGTTATTGACTATATTTGGACTCATAGCTGTGCGATAGGAATAAATTTCGTTACTTTAACTGCAATGTAAGGTAAAAGAGGATCTCTTCAACAGTCCTTAAAATTGATTCGGTGAGGCACATTCCTGACTGGCGTTTCCAAGACCATTGCTCACAGATCTAGGGCTGCACAACACGCAGATCCTACTTCAGTGACTGGATCGTCTACACAGAGTCATAGTGCCTACTCCTCCACACCTTTCCGTGCACTGAAGTGTCACTGAAGCCGGGACAGAACAAGAACGCATCCATACTAGAGATATGCCTATATTGGAGATATGCCTTTTCAGTGTGCGGAATGTTCGAAATCTTTGGCCAAGCACTCCAACCTAATAGTCCAAGAAAGAATCCATCCTCTTAGAGTAACTCATCAGGTAACAGCGCTGGTGACAAATCCATCAAAGCGAAAACAGAATTTGAAGACCATGCAAATACTAACAGCCAAAGGTTTTTCCAGATGTTTTATTTAGGTCTCCATGCAAATTTCACTGCTTACATGCTGACGTCAACACATGTAACATCAATAACATTATCATAATCATTGTATTCCAGTTGATATCTACAGTTTCGTTCCTTGTTATTCATTGCACTTCTTACACAGTAGGAGTGTGTTTACAAATTAACTATGCAAAAAAACAATTAATTAATTGCGATACGCTGGGCTGTTTGGGATTTCACACGTGATGCAAATATTTTAGTTCCTTTGTTACTCTATGTAACTTTGACCTATTATTCATTTTAACATTGTATAGTCTCGTTCTAGTCCTTGTGAATCTTGTCACATTATACCAGGCTCTTCAAAGACCCTACATAATTATTATTATTATTATCATTATATTCACATGAGGTGAAAACGCTTCGATACAACGATGTCCCATTCAATATCTAACGCCAAAGTGTCTCACATTGACACCATCCCACGTCAGGAGTTGAAGAGTCAGCATGAAGTGTAAGTCTCAGCTTTCGTGATACCAACACAAGCTCTAAGGTGAAGAGAACATAACAAGGATAACGTGTATGTGTGTGTGTGTGTGTGTGAGTGTGTGTGTGTGTGTGTGTGTGTGAGTGTGTGAGTGTGTGTGTGTCAGCCTGTGTATGTAAACCTGTATGCGTGTAGGTGATTATGAGTATGCTCAGGATATGATAAGATTGCCATGTGTCAGTTGATTATAGAGTTCATAAATAGATGTTTGACGTGACGAATTAGCAGAATGTTCCTCGGGAAACACAAATGCTACTGATTATAAAACCTACATCCTAGGGCGAGTTCTTGCTATTTGAATTATTGGCACTGACGTCGGACACGTTTTGTGCTTGGAAGGAAAATTACAGTTTTGAGACTTTGTGTTGTACGTGAATCATGGATAATTGTGAATGGAATTCGGCGAGTAGCGTGGACTCTGATGCACTCTCATCACTGCCACCACTAGTCATATGGACCAGCAGAAGGTCTACTGCGTGTCCTCCACCGCCAAATATAGCAGCATCCTACGGCGCATCTTATGGAGCACATAACCACCCAAATGCTGAAAGCGGCAATCAAGTAGCGACCTCTGAATTCTCCTACGGATATAATCCTCCTCTGCGTTCCTCATTCAGCTCTTGCAACACTCCAATATCTACCTCCGATGCCCTTCAAGATCATCGTTTGATTGAGGATGTGGCAGACAAGTTCAGGGAGCAACTACCAGAGTTCCAGAGTAACAACAAAACAAACGCTACTATTGTTTCGACAACAGCTATCGTAAACCCAAGCTCAAATCCCATGACACCGGCAGTGGACACTGACAAAAGATCGCAAGACAACGGTAACCAAACTGTTAACCATCCCGTCTCCGTTTCATATCACTACACAGGCCATGGGCACGTAGCGTATGACTCGAAAGGTGGCAATTACTCAAGCAAGTCTGCCGATGTGGACGTTCACATTATCGGACGTATTCCAGTATCTCCTCTTTCGTCCAGCTTATCTGAAGATCCCAAACATCACGATCGTAAAACGTTCAACAATATGCACACCTCTGAGTTGTTTTCGAAGGAAGTTTGTCAACTTCAAATTGACATTACTCAGCCTGAACCGTTGCTCAGCAAGGAAACAGATACGTCACTCGATCGCCAGAGTGACACACTGGATCGTTCGCATTCACAACCTGGAGAAAAGCCGCTTAAATGTAAGCAATGCGATAAATCATTTTCTGCTCAATCTTGTTTAATAACATCTGATGAATGTACACATCCAGAAGAAAAATTGTTAAAGTGTAAAGTGTGCGATAAAACCTTCAATAGGCGAGCTAAGCTTACCAGTCATGGACGTGTTCACTCAGGAGAGAAACCCTTTACGTGCAAGCACTGCGATAAGTCATTCAGTGACAAATCCAATCGTACTGCTCACGAACGTATCCATACAGGGGAGAAACGGTTTCAGTGTCATTACTGTGGTCAAGGTTTTTCCGCCTGTTCCAGCCTTAGATCTCATTTACGTACACATACTGGAGAGAAGCCATTTCAGTGTAAATTATGTGGCAAGGCATTTAGACAATTACCACATCTCACAAGTCATCAACGCATCCATTCTGGAGAGAAACCATTTCAGTGTAAATTATGTGGCAAGGCATTCAGACAATTACCACATCTCACAAGTCATCAACGCATCCATTCTGGAGAGAAACCATTTTCGTGTAATGTATGTGGAAAGTCATTCAATCGGAAATCCAGCAAAACAGCTCATGCACGAATCCATTCCTAACAGCAAGGGATCATGTGTGAACGATCGGGACAAGTCTTTCATTGCCAAACCACACTTTTCAAGACCTTGAAAATACAAACACCCTCTAAACAAAAGCTTTTCCAAAATGATCTTACATCTGACTTCTAATACCGGTTTTAACCGGGGTAAATTCAATGCCAATGACAGACAGATCTGAACTCCACTCCTTGGTAACTGCTTACTTACACGCTGATTTCACCCATACTAACAACTACCATCACAAACAATATCTTGTATCATTGTCTTCCCGTTGATATTGTACTGTTTCATTCCATGTTGTCCTTTGCACGTCTCACACAGACGGAACGCATTTTCCATTGTTGATAAACCTGTCCTTTTGAATGTCGCAAACAAGTATAATACTTCTAGAGCACGTACGCATTGCTCTGCTGTTTTCAAGGCCGCGTATAAAGCTATAATTATATTCGGTCTGTATGTATCTTTGCTCCCATGTATAATATTGTTTTGTCTTGTTCTAGTCTTTGTCAAAACTCCTCAAATCTTCTAATACTATCTCAAAGTTCATGTGCTTAGTGGAAATGGACGAAAGGTAAAATTGACTTTCACCACCAGGACTCGAACCCTGACACTGATAATAAGCAGCAATGCTCTAACACTAAGCTATGGCTTACTGGTCATCCAAGCAGCGACCATTCAACACTTTCTTCTGACTTTCACCCTCAAGCTTCCTGTGAATTCGCACTGGCTGGTGGGACGGAGTTCTCACTGCAACCCACACACTTCCCGCACTATGTAGCACGAGGGAAGCCCCAACATACAAAGTATTCATTCGTTCGAGGGGAAGGTGACAAGGGGAAAGGCCTGACGAACAAAATTGACTGTCACCACCATGAATCGCAACAGGGAGCCTCTCTAAAGACGTGAGACAAATCTTACTCTACAGCATGAAATCAGTGTGAGGTTCAGCAATCGACTATTTGAGTCACAGGAAGTGATGCGCCTTCGCAGCCATTTTGACGCATTTATCACAACTACCACAGAGCCAGATACTCGACCCGGCAGATCTGTCTTACACACAACAAAGTGTACCGTGTAGTCAGTTGAAACTCGGAGTACAGGAAAAAGATCCTGTCAAAAACGATCGTCAGTGCCTAGAGCGTGTTCGCACTGTACACATATCGCGGTTTTTAGCACAAAACTTGAAATATCATGAAATTCCCACGAAACCTGGCAAGTCCGACATGATTATCCCACCTGCGAGGTATTACCACAAATTAAGTTCTTCAAATACCAGCACAGGTGCCCAAATCAGAGGTGACTACCTTTCCCAAGAGGTGTTTTAATACAGTACATGAGAACAATATTTATTTGAAGAAATCCAATTTTTCATCACCCATAGAGTTTACAATCATTATACAGCATGCTTGAAGATATCGCCCATTTCTGTTGAGTAAAACTTATAATCTCACTGGTACCCGAATTTCCACACACTGGCACAAGTCCGTCATTAATATCTCACCTGTGAGGGGTAAGCAAACTTTGCGCAGCTAATATTCCATCCCATGTACCCAAATAGGACGTGATCATCCTTCCTCACATTCTGTTACCACAGTATTAAAGTGAGAACTGTATTTATGTGAACAGATCCAGCTTGTCATCACTCATAGAGCTTGCACTCATTATTCAGCAAGCTTGAAGATATCGTCTGTTGCTAACTTTGGCCGTGCTCTTGACTGTTCAATTGGTCACCATAGAAGACGGTCGAGTTCCGTTAAGAATGGAGCATGATGCGGACTGGACGTCTGAGAGCAGTTTGGATTCAGATGAATTATCAGTGTTGCCACCATTAGTGATATGGACAAGTAAAACGCAATTGCCATTGTCATGTTTCGTATCACCATGGTGTGCCAAGTGTCGCGCGTCACCACACTGAGATCGGTCATGGAAATAACATAGTGACCTCTGAAACGTCTTCTGTGGATTATCCACAACGGCATAGCTCGATATCCAGGCTGGACAATTCACAGCACCGCTATTCTCCAGTAGATTTCTTTCTGCTTCCTGAGCCAGTCGTCATCGCCACACCACGTAGCGAAGTCCAGAGCAAGAACCAAAAAGATGCTGAAGCTTCAGCATCAGCTTCTTGCAACACTGACTTGGAGCCGCCAACGTCAACAGGCAGAATGCTAAAACGATATCTCCCCACATCTATTCCACAAGTCAGCTCTTCCCTAACTGGTCCAGACCACTACGCCGCTCCAGAAGGGACACGTGACTCGCCTAATGACGAATCGTCCATCCATTCTGATGACTTTGACCTGAATCAACAGAGTATAGGTAATATTAGCGATAATTCGGTATCTCCCCAATGCACTGGTGAACTTGTATCTGAAAAACCACACAAACCAACTGGAGGAAACTTGGTGAAATGTAAGCTGTGTGGAAGGGCATTCTCTAACCAGTCTAGTCTTACTAGACATGAACGCACGCATCACAACCAGAAACGTTTCAAGTGCAAGAAGTGTGAAAAGTCATTCAGTTACAATTGGAGACTAAAACTTCATGAACGTACGCACTCTGGAGAGAAACCATACAAGTGTAAGGTTTGCGCAAAGTCGTTCAGCCAAAGTTCCAATCTTTTGCGTCATCAACGCATCCACACTGGATAGGCCTTGACGGATTATGCTAGCATAATTTTTCGCATAATTTCTACCAAAATCGAATAATCGCATAATTCGAGGCAAATTGCATACGAATCGCATAAAATTGTAATAATCCGCCTGTTTGCATCAAATTCCATACAGTTGTACATGTTCTACAAGTACAAGTACAAGTAGATGCACTAGGAAGTTGTAGGTTTACGACTCCCTTGATAACATGTCCAGTCCACTACAATCAGTGATGGTCGTAGCTAGGTCGGACGGTGCGTTGACCCCGTTGAACTTTTTGCTACTACAGTACTACGCCCTCTACAAAAAAATTCCCCTGCACAGAACCATTATGCATTAGCAGCATATGTGAACATAATGCGGCATAATATGATAACTTTCAGCATAAAAATAGCATAATTCTGCAATTTTTTCAGCAATGCGAAAAGCATACTTTCACGAAAATATTAACATAATCCGTCAAGGCCTAACACTGGAGAGAAGCCATTCAAATGTGCACACTGCTGCAAGTCTTTCGCGGAGTTAAAAAACCTTCATGACGACCAGATTCGTCACACGGGACATAGGCGGAATGTATGTAACGGGTGTGCCTGTGAATTTTATTCTGCATCCAGTTTGAGACGTCATAAGCTTAATCGAGTTTGTAAACGATAACACCCTAATCCTTCTGCATCTCTCCTTTTCTCTACTATTCTCAAATCCTTATCTTCTTTTGTAACTGCTCCTACTCGCTTTCTTATAGCCATATGTTGGTAACTGTTTTGTTATAGATTATAGCTCTGCGTTATACGTCTTATCCGAACTTTATTTTCAAATTTTTAATAGGATTGCGTTGCCTCTTTTCGCGTATAATAATAATAATAATAACAGCTCGCATGTACTCCATGGGTGAGATCACCCATGGGGCTAACGCATCTTTCGGCAAAAGAGTTAGAGAAAACGAGAAACACATGACATACACACCTTCTTCATTCTGTTATTGCAGGGAAAAACTACCTCGATTCCACCATGAGCCTAGGCATGAGGAGTATAATATTAAGTACAGAATGTTATTTACCAAAAGGATATTCAAGTAAGCGCAGATATTTTTTTAGCATGATAAGTTAGTACATTGATTCACAATGCCGAGCCAAGCTTCCCTGTCTTGGGAAATAGCTTCCGCTTCGGCAATGGAAACGTTTATTGTCTTTAAGTCATTCTTGATGTTGTCGATCCATGTGGTGACGGGGCGTCCCCTGGGCTTCTTGATGTCTTTGGTGTCGATTGAAAGTCTTAGAGCTTTGTAGGATGTCGAGTCACTGCCTTCTCTGATTACATGGCCGAACCATAACAAGCGCCGTTCCCTGCATGTTCTGCGTATTGTTCAAGTTAAAAACATAATTGCTGAACTGAACAGTCTTTGAGTATGCTTCATTTCCTCGTTCTCTCCTGTAGTCGTCTTCTTGTTTTCTTGCATTATCGTTGGCTTTCGTCCACACTGTTTCTGGAATTAAATTCTGGTCCTCATGTGTCCATGACTTATGAAATTGTGCACAATTGACCTAGGCTTCTGTACATTTGCGATTTGTGCTAAGCGCTGAAATTTTCCGAGTGAATTTACATTGGAATTGTTTTCGTAAAATGTATTTATTATATATCGCATTAGAATGTCTTCACAGCCATTTTAGCTCCCTCCTTATTGGACTGTTTTCACATCCATTGTAGCTTCCTCCGTATAAGACTGTTTTCACAGCCATTTCAGCTCATTTTCTCTTGGTACTAAGCTGTTGACCTTGCACTTGTGTTTATTTTGCCCGTACAAGAGGCTTTTTAAATTTTTTTTTATTATATATCGTGATAATTGATGAAAATGTAAGACACATTATTTAAGGTGGCAGACTACCCAAACATTCGCTGAAAATCGAATTTGTAAATTCAAATTGAGTGCTATGTCAGTTAAAAGAGCATGAATAGCTGCAAATTCTCTGAAAATTGTGTCCCAATCTGACCAGCCGTTCAAGAGTTATGGCCAAAATGTGCCCTTGCAAGGAAAGATTTTTTTTGTTGCACACTGTCATTTGTTGGCAGCACTGTGTTTGAATGTGAGCAGACCGTGCGCAACTTGTCGTATCATGGAAACACGCGAAAGTGTGCAGAATTTTGCTCCAAGTCCAAACAATCACGTTAAAAATCACGTATTGGGCTGCATGGCGGCGGGCGAAGCCGCCCGCCGTGCAGCAGAACCTTTGCCAGCACCCTCGTGACGTTGCAGATATGTGGCTTGATTATTGTAGTTGACGTTGATTTAGTGACTTTGGCAAGTTTGAGTCGTGTTAAGAAGTCAGGTAGGATTCAGTACTAGGCAGTAGTGAAACGTGACTTACGTGAGTGGTAGTCTATGCCGGTTTCTGAGGGCATCCTGGATTTGGTGTGCAGCGCTGTGGAAATGGCTTGCTGTGGACATCCCAGCACTGGATGTTGTATCAAAGGTAGGACCTCGTAGCACGTGCTAAACCTAAAAAAAATCAAAATTTGACTTGGGTCTGTGGGAGTCCTACCCCACCACCCATGGCTGCTTCTGGACTTGTTTTAGGTTTGGGTCCCGTGCACGGACAGAATGGGGACGAAAACGTGAAAAAAATGTAAATGCATTTGTTTGGCTCCTGAGTGGCTCGCACACTGTGGCACTATGCCAGAAATTTGAGTTTTCCGGCCCGGAAAGCCTGTCAGGGAGGCGCAAGAACTTGTAAATCATGTCCTGAGGGCCGGGATACTGGCAGCAGTGTGTGGTCACAATGGCACTCAAATCCATTGAGAAACACCAACGTTACGGTCAATTGAATGCCATATGAAATTTATGGGTAGGCTGCGCCCTTAAGGTAATTAGTCGTGTTCAGTTGTTTTTCGTCTACAATG